TCGTCCCAGGATCAACCAAACATTCCTAGTTCGCATGCTTTTTGTTTTTCATACATTTTCATACAACATTTTACAGCATTATGTGCTTTCATGCCTTTGGCACAACTTCGGTGCAAGTGCTTCTGTGCGTGTGGCTGCTCCAAGTAATTTGTGAGATGTGTCGTGCAACCAAGGGAGGGTTGTAGTCAATTGGAATGAATGATGCGTCTTGCGCGATGGACAAATGTTGCATGGACATTCACATTCCTTTTGTCCTTTCCAGGGAACCGTTTCGTGCTCAGTGACTTGGAAGACTTCGTGAAAGAAACTGCGTCCGATTGTCAGTTTAGGCTTTGTCTCAGTTTGATGTGTTCAATTATATAACTTCTGCGTCCGTTAGTCCTTTGGGTGGGACATGGTGGGACAGCTGAAGTCCCCTCCAGCTATGCACAGTCCCTGAAGACCTTCAAAGTCATTCCAAAAACATATCTCTATATGCAATTTTCATTCCGTCCCTTTTTTTGAGGATGCTGTGACCAAAAAACACCCAACACAGAAACAACATGCAACAACATGAACCACGTTCAAAATGACTTACATGGCCTCTTCTCGAGCCCCGTGTCGTTTTACTCTGTTTGCACATTGTTCCCAGGATGCCACTGCAAAAGAGCCCTTGGACAAGTCTTCAGGCCTTTAACTGGGGGGGTGGTTTGCCAAATCATCTCGGTGCTGTTCTAGATTATTGTTCTGTTATCGTTCCGGTTCCCGGTCTAAACACGCCCACACACGGCCACAATTCAAGAAGTATAACAGTAAACCACAAACATGTACTATCACCTTTACAATCTTTACAGCAATGTACAGTAGATTGCTTTTCTGTTGTGCGCCGTTTTTCCCCAAGCAGCGTGGTAACACTACGGTTCCTATAGTGATGGTTAAGGACGGGTGTCTGATCGAGGTGCTCGCGGCCGGGTCTGGCTGTACACTCAATTCATGTCAAGATCTTCTAAATGCATTCCGGCTGCGCAGGCTCGCAGAATCTGGTGGGCTGGCGCGGGTGCTCTTCGAGACTGCGCTCTTGGTGATCTGTGACAGGCACAAGGAAGACCTTGTGGTTTGCCGACTTCTCGTGCCAGGTGCAGGAGATCGGGGCGGCTTCATGTCCATGTGCAGATTCTGTGGCAGGTGCAGTGCCTTGGAGATGGTGGTGGTCTTCGGCGTGCTCCGATTTCGTGGCGGGTGCAGAGAGTCGTGACTTTTGGACAACTGGCTCGTGTTCAGGAATCGGAGGAAGTCTTGAGCGAAAGCTGCGTTTGGCATCTTGATGTTGTCTTTTGGAAGTGCCCTTGCTGCGAATCGCCTTGGCGGGGCATGGCGGGGCTGCGCGGTGTGAACCTCGATGTGCAGATTTCATGGCAGGTGCAATATTTTGTGGACCTTGAAGTGCAGATTTCCAGGCAGGGGCAGCACTTTGTGGACCTTGAGGTGCAGATTCCGTGGTAGGCGCAATATTTTGTGGCAAATGGAGTCCTTCAAGCCCTTGAAGTGCAAACTTCGTGGGAGACGCAGCAAATGTACTCTCATGTGTGTGCTCAGACATCTCTCTCCACCTCACCATCACCAAAAACATCCAAAAAACACCATCACCAACTTCTTCACACCACCATCACCAACACCTTCCCTCACCACCATCACCAACACCTTCCCTCACCACCACCACCAACCAGCACCAGCACCAGCACCAGCACCACCAGCACCACCTGAATCACCACCATCACCTCTCTCTGGAGCCCAATGCGTCTAGATCTCTAGACCTTCTTCTACACCTCTAGACTCTAGACCTTAGACCTTTAGACACACTGTTTGGGGTCTCTTGCCGGGTTAATCATTGTGTCTTTCAGACTGTCTTTCTTGTTTTGCTTTTGGATTGATCGTCTTGAGTCCTGATTGTCTTGGTCTTACATTTGCGAGGACAATTGACCTTCCTGCAAAGGATCGGTGGCTTTGAATTCAGTTGACACCTCAAGTCTTTCAAGTCAACAACCGCTCCGTGACCGCAGCTGCTCCAAATAGTCCAGCTGCAAAAACAGGAGCTGGGAAATACCTCAGCAAACAGTTGGTGGGTTAAGTTTCCCTAAGCATCTAGAAACCAAATCATTAGTGCGGGCGCTTCTTCAAGGAAGCTTCTCCCACAGCCTTTAGGGCGGCGGGGAGCTTCCTTGAAGAAGCGTGAGCTATCCTGCGTCCATAGGTGGTAGCTTACTTGCAGGTGCTAGCTACCTAGCTACTACTAGCTACCTCTAGCTAACCTACCTCACCTCTAGCGGCCTAACCCCCTGAAAAAAAAAGAAACGCCTTTGCAAAACTAAGTTGTCCAACATCTGGCGAGTAGGATGAATCCATGTTACCATGCTGTCACAATGCCCGGCACCGCGCAAAGTCGCAAGGCAGTCAAAGCGTTCGGGATGGTCCGCCACTCCTTGACCGCTCCAAAACCGCAGACTTCCACTACTCCAAAGCCGGCAGGAAAGCAAGTCTATAGTACATAGGCAATGTTGGGATATCCGAGACATATCTCCTAAATCCAGGCCACCAAACACCCTGCTGTTTCTCCATCCTAGCATTCCAATTTTCAAAGGGGCCTCACGACGACTCAGCCCTTCGGCCATCCTCCTTGCTGTCGCTATACGCCCGTAGTTGAGCCCGGACCAGTCCGGAAGCGAGACATGTTGGTCTGGCCCATCCTGCCACCAGTGGATGAAACCACATGATGGACTACAACGGCCCAAAAAGTATAGTCTTAGTATTAGTATGTCTTAGTAATTAGGATGATCCCGCACTGGTTCCCGTGGGGTCCGCTGATATGGATCGAAGTCTTGACCAAACACATGATCTCTTTTGGCCCGAATCCCTGCCTCTCCAAGTTTTGCAGCAGTGGCGAGCATGCAACATGATCCCCGACTGACTTGTCAGCCTTGTCAGCCAGCCAATGTGGCCAACAGTTAATTAACAATTATAACCCACATAGAAGACAAGCAACTACTGTAAATGATAAAGTCCCCATGGATGTCGAAGACCAACAAAAAACAGCTGGCGTGCACATGATGTAATTGAAAAATCAATTGTCCTTCATGTGCTCCACAAGTGTGAGCATCCTTCAATGAAAAACTGTTCGCGGCTCCTACACTTTTGATTGAATGTTGACAAGTTTTTTCAGAACATGCTGGGAGCTGGTAGAAGCTCATGAGAGGAAAATGGCAGCGGAAACATCATGAAACATCATGAAACATCGAACACTGACTGACGGGTGCAGTGGAATCAAGTTTCAATGGTTAACAACCTGGAAAACCTCAAGTATTCCTCTACAACGGGGGGTTGGTCGTTCACTTCCGTGTTGGTTGGAGTGAGGGAGGGTGCAACATGTTCACTGCTTGGTCTGGTTCACCCCCTGAGTAGATTCTGCCTCATTCTTTTGGATGCAGAACTGAGTTGCAAAGTTAAACTAGTGCCTTTTTGGCCATAGTGAGAACACATGGCATTTGAAAGCGGCATATCCCTTCAGGGCCGGTCCGTTTGGCTTCGGTGCCTCGGGTAATGTGTTCCTCAATAGCTTTTAGCTGCTCGCTCGTTTGGCCTGCGAGGAGTGCAGCCGTGCGGCCAGTACCATCGCGAAAAGCGATGAACGCATCCGCGGCATCTTGGAACTCCCAAACCATTGGTATCAGTTTGCATTCCACGGCTGCAAACCCTACTGACTGAAGTGTGCTTGTTGTGTCGTCGACATCCGCGAAGCGAAAGAATGGAGGTGCATCGGGCAAGGGGACATTAGGATTGCCATGCAATTGAACTGCCTCGTGCACCAGCGCCATGGCTTCAGTTGCAGGGGTCGCTGCCCAAACAGTGAAACCCAAGCGGCCACCAGGCTTCAAGATGCGAAGAGATTCTGCGAAAAAGTCCTCTGGCACGGGAAGATGCAGCACGCCAAAACTGCAGGCAACCGAATCGAACGACTCCTGCTCAAAAGGTAAAGAAGCTGCATCCGCTTCCAGCAACTTCACATCATGGCCTGCAAGGCGCTGCGTGGCCAAGTCCAACATCTTTCGAGAAAAATCCACTGCCACGACAGATGCTCCAGCTTTGGCTGCAGCTTCGGCCACAAAACCAGGCCCTGTTGCAACGTCCAAAAGTTGGCTCCCTGTGCCACATTGCACAGCCTTAAGCAGTTCTGGTATGCACTGCCTTGTCAAGGCTCCAAAACCTTTATCATAGGCAGAAACAGCCTTTTGCCAGTTGCGATGCTCAAGTTCGGTGAACGCCGCAACTGACTTGGAATCCAAACTTGATGCCCACGCCCGGCCGAGCGACCGACTTGCGATTTGCCCAGCACGGCGACCAACAAACCGCAGGGTTGTGCAGTTCATGACAGTGGCATTCTGCTTGCTACAGGTCGTGATGTTTATGCTGCACACCTAAACTACCACTTGCTGCACAGTATCATCGTACATGGGTTGTTCACAAGAAAGCTCCTCTATGCCTAATTATGATGAATGGCTTCTGGCAGTTCACTGCTGCTTTGTGCTGGAAGGCCATTCCCTGCCTTCACCTTAAGCCTTATGAATGAGACATCAAGATCTCATAAGATCTCGGGTAATCACACATTAGCATTCGGCCAATGCAGCGAAGCTGTGTCCCATCTTTTTCCAGGCTTAGGAAAAAAGTTGTCCTTGGAAACGAACTACGGTGATACTGATCCAGTTCGGCCGCTCCCATGCACCATTGGTGCGTTTTTAGGTACGTGCCAAGCTGGGAAATGTATGGTTGAACATGCCATGGGGTGTTCAGCCCATTAGACGCTTTAAATGGAGTTGAATGTTCATCATTCGATGTGTGTATCCTCGTTCCCTGCTTAAGCTTATCCTCTTATTCCTACTAATAGCCGTGCCTTCCCTCTATTCAAGGACATGATAGGACCCAATCACACCTCTTAACAAGTTTCACCCAAGAATGTTCATGTGTTGAAGCATCATCCAAGTTGATTTTGAAAACTTGATCATCAATACAGTTGAATCTCGTGGCGCAGGCGTGAAAAAGAAAATAACTCACTTGGTTCAATATGGACTGAAGATAAGGAGAAAAGGGGTAGTTTTCACAGCCTCTCTGCTGCACTTGACTTTTCAGATCTTGATTGTCTACGCGCTGTGGTTTGGAGCTTTCACCGTGTGTGCTTGCCCTCACGTTTGGAAAGCCGTTCCTCCACAGCAGCAACGCGGGCAATCCTTGGCTGGGTGTCTTTTTTTGTTCTTTGTGAGGCATGATTCAAGTTGCGTTCTTTGCATCAAACAATTCATGCTGTCTGAAGTATTGATGTCTGAAGGTGTTGCTGGGAAGCATTTCTGCCTGCTCATCTTCAAGTCGCTGTAAAAGGTCATCTCTTTCCTACCACTGGATCACGTGAACCATTTACTCTAAGACTCTACGCCAAAACCCTGCAAAACGAGTCCGTGTAGAACACTTGGAAGCGACTCACAAAGAACGAAGCAAACTCAAGTAGATTGATGCCAGATTGGCCGCTGCCTTGGTGACGGCTGCATGTTCCTCTTTCAAGGCAGCCATCCGTTTTTGAAGAGACCTCATGTCATCCTGGCCCATTTGAGCGGTCACGTTTCCAGTGGAAATAACCGCCTTGCAATCCTTACTCTATGCCTCTGGTGAAAATGGCCGTAAGAGATCCAATCTCAAACGCTCTCAACTAGTAACTAGTGCCAAACACTTTTTCCGCAGCAAAGGTAGAGATGCCCTGAAATGGATTGATGCCAGTCCACTCACTGCAGCTCCAATCCAACAATAGACTTTAACATGTGTATATAAAGATCTTGAAACTATCAAACAGCTCATGATGCTCATGATTTCGTTGATGAGCTATGCTCAAACAGCTTGTCTTTCCCTGGAAAATGGGACCGTCCCTTTTACGGTACTTGTTCTTTGCATTTCCCTCTGTGGCAGTACATACGACATGGTACAACACCTAAGTAGGTCTGTCTCTTGGTGCTTAGTTGCCACTCTCAAAAGGCTGTGGTTAAGAAACAACACAGGCACGTCTTGACGCCTGATTTCCACGACAACCCCAAGGTTGTGGAAATATTCAATATTTGCATTGGTGTGCCGGCGTGCCACAATTTGAATCTGACTATCTAACATTCAAACGGTCCACTGCGCTACCCATCGTCTTTGGGCCAACTGGCCTATTGCACGACTGCAATTTTTTTGGGGATATGTGTTCTCGTGCCCCGCACATCCCGCACACTTGCTGAGATGGTTTCTGTAAGACCTGTTCGCGAACACTCCCCGCGACAAAAGAACCGCAAGCCAATAAGACAATTATCATTGACGCCCCAAAGACGTCATGTCAAACTCAGAAAGCCACTAGCTTTTTGTTAACTATAAATATGTTGCCGTATAGGTCCATTAGGGCCTGGCATGAGTTGGGGATTTGGGTGCCCATGCCATCCACAAAGTGAGGACTTGCTTTGACCTGAGCCTGAGCATATCAACATCTCTCCGCATCTGGAAATTCCTGTATCACAAAGAGTCAGGGAAAACAACACAGAATCCGAAGCAACAATAACATACAATAACTTGTCCTCGTCCAAGGATCCCTGAAAAACCCGGCGGTTCCGGTGTGACACACTCTGTCTCGCTCCTCGCCTGGCTCCGTCGCAGCTGGTCCTCCAAGGAGTCCACCTCTTCACGGCACAGTTCCCGAGCTTTGCCTCACAGGTTGGGTGTTCCACGAAAGAGAAGAACAGCCTTGGCTGGGCTTACCCCTTCGTGACTGGCCACCAAAAGGGCCGCTTGTCTAGCTTTTGGATGGAGTTCCGAAAGGCCCTCAGTTCTGTTTCGTGACACTTCCGGGAACTTTTGTGACAGCTCTGTCTTGTAAAATATATGTAAACATGTTTAACATTCATATTAAAAATATTTTAAAATATTACCAATAAGATTGGTCTTAAAAACAAGTGATGGCACAAATCCAGTCCCTCGTTTTTCTTGTGCTCAGCCAGATTACGGGCCATCTCAAGCTGTGAAGAGAGGTCTTTCTCCATCTCCTGGAGATATGTGCCGAAGTCACTGAAGGAAACTGCAATGTGCAATCTGGTTTGATCGAGCCGTGCTCGTTTCGCTCCTTTGGCTTCAAAGGGTCTAACTGCATTGCAGTCTGGCAGCTGGCATCGCAATTCGCTCTGCTGTAGCCTCTTTTTCGAGCAGCACTACAGACTGGTTCGCCCGCAGAGAGTGAGACCTGCAAATTCGAACTAGCTACGCCGCCGCAAGCAACAGTATCCGCGCTTGGGATTCTGTGGTGACAAGGGCGGGTCCACTTGACCTTTGCTAGTGACAACTGACCGTCCTTCGGTTTTTTGAGCGGCCTTGGTTGTGCGCCAACTTTGCTGGGAGACACCCGCGACTGGAACATTTGCTCCTGCAGGCGTCCGCCCTTTTCCCTTGATCGTTGGACTGGCTAGAGGCTCCTCGGTGATTTCGCTCATCTGGTCTAGCTCCAAACCACCACAAAAGGCCTGAACGAAGGCTCTCCAAAGCACTCGTCCTTCGGCATCCTTCTCTGCCAGCAAGACCAAGCGGTCTTCATCATCCTCCGGAAGTGATCCTGGAATGGCCCAAAATTCAGCCATTGCTGCTTTCAAAGCACGACGAAAGTCCACCTCCGGCAGAAGGTCTGAAGAACCCGCCACCGATGTGAAGCAAGAAGCTTTGCTCCAAAGCCGTTGTCTGGCTGCTTCACGAAGCTCCAGAACCATGGTCTCCATCTCAGGCTGACCGGCTCGGTCAACCATATCGTAAAGTAAAGCCACTGGGACACAACCGGAATCTCCGGAGCGTCTCCTGCCACTGGCTGCAATGGCTGCAAGTAGCTCATCAGCTTCTGCCACAGAGATTGATAGTCGCAAGTGCCCCAGCAAACTCCCCAGCAACTCACGATTGATCATGGCAGATTCGGCCTGCTGCCGGTTGGAACCATCTGCAATATCAAAGAGACCCAAAAGAGAGCCTAAGGTCAGTTGAGTGCCCAGGAAGAGTCTTTGTCGCACTCGCCACATCAGGGTCGCCAAAACCAAGACCTGAGGCAAACTATGTGCCACGGACCGGAAAGGCTTTGGAGGTCTCGGGGGCACGTTGTTCCAGGACAATGGCTCCGCTCTGGCACTTGCTCCAGGAACTCCCAGTCGTGGCAAAAGGGTTTGCGGCAAAAGCCGGCCTTCCCCATCCTTGTCAGTCAGCTCTGACAGCCATTCCATCTGTGCGTGAGTCATGTATGGCTCAGCTTGCATCACAGCCACACGAAACTCTTGTTGTGATGCTCTGTTGCCCAAGCGCTGCAAGGCAGGAGCCAGCCTCTTGGAGTCAATCTGCTCAAGTCCTGCTGCTTCAAACGGCACTCCGGCACTGCAAGCCGCTTCTGCTGCCGTAGCCAACTGTGACAAAGGCAGTGTGCCAGTGCCACAGCCTCGAATCTGAGCGAAAACGGACTGCACCTCTGCCCGTGAGATGCCCAGGGGGAAAACACTCACAGCCTCCATGACCTGCAGGGAGTGGACTAATGAACGCTTGTCTTCAAAGCCAAGGGCTCGATTCACAAGCCATCTCTCTCTCTCCTCTCTCTCTCTCCATTAGGTTGGAGGCCATCGCTAGTAGCTAGCAGGTGGGAGGCCATCGCTATTTCGCTCTCTCTCTCTCTCTCTGCCCCCATTGACTCTCGTTAAGTTGGCTTACGGGTGGGGCTGCAGAATGCTGCAAGTGCTCATTGAAATCCAAACATCTTTGAGTGCATCCATCGCCTCTTCTAGAGTTGCCACGTCTGGATTGCGTGCAAACAGTCTCAGGATGTCAACACCAGGGCCAGGAGATCGGCGTCCAAGCAAGTGCTGAGATAGGCGCAGGAGCGCTGCCTCACCACGTGCATTATGTCCAGCCTGCGCTGGCGCTGGGTTAGCAGGACTTGGACCTGGGCGGCGAGGCTTGCCAGCACCTGGACCTGCCACAAAGTTCGGTGGGCCTAGACCTCCCTGAGGACCTCCCTGAGGGCTCAAGGTGGGCATCAACTTGGGCGCGGAGACTTTGGCGCCACCAGGCAGTGCCTGTCCAGCCCGCAGGGTCTGATCAAATCCCCGTTCCAGCTGTGCCAAGGCTTCAGGGACATCCACTTTGCCATCCGGGCATTTCGGCAGCAGCCAAAAGAATTTCTTCAACTGTTCCTGATTTTGCGGTACCAACCTTTGCACCACAGCTTGAAAGTCACTTTCATGGACAGCAGTCACACCGTCTTGGCACAAAAGCCGGTAGATGGCAATGGTATCTGAGCCATTTGCATCACTTCTCACCCCACCACCTCCGGAGCCTCCGGGATTCAGGGGCTCCAAGTTTTCATCGCGAATGGCCTTGGTACCAACTCCCGTGATCCGCACTTGCCAGCGGCAGGTGGCCGCATTCCAGGACTCGACCACGCCCTCGCAATGGTTCAACTTGGCGCCCAATGCGCTTTGCAGGCTGTGAATACGCACTTGGGCTCCAGGAAAAACCTCCCGAGATTTGCTATCTTCCACCTGCGCTCATGGGAACACCAAAAGCATGCATGTGGTGCAGGGTGGAAAGGTGGCAATTCCAACTCACACATCTCCGATCTATTTATCTCAATCCCCTACAAACACAGGAAAAGCAAGGACAAGCTGATTTGGCAATACTCCATGCACCTGGGATGCCTTTTGCGCGAGCTCTCCCAGCAAGCTCTTGGCCCAGTCTTCCAGTTGCTGAACTTCTGGGAAGACCCGATGCAAAGCATCGCCAAACATGTCCACCGGCACATGACTGTGCGTGCCTTGCAGAAACGTTCGCACTTCTCGGATCTCCTGGTCACTGAGGCCTAAGGCCATTGAGATCACAGCTCGTTCAAACTCAGCTTCTTTTAACTGACCATCACCCTTCTGATCAAAGCTGGCGAAGACTTGCAGCCAGTTCTGTCGCCGTGCCTGCAAGCCACGACGCACTCGGCTCAGCAACACACGGGCAGAAAGCTCATGTTCCGCCAGTGAATGCTGAGGAGCCGGGGTTGAGACAAAGGGTGGTGCATGCCATTCTCGTCGAACGGGTACATCTTCGACGAATGGTGGTTGCGGAGAGGGTTCAACGCACTTTTCGACTACCTTTGGTTGTGCCTTTATTTTGGGCACCTGTGCTCGAGGAGGCGTTGAGACTGGCTCCGGCTTGGAATCAATCCTCTCCTTGCTTCGAGACTCCTTCGCATCCTTTTCAGCTTGACCATTGGCATCGAAGCGTCTCACATAGGGTCTGGAGATTAATTCCTGGCCACTCGGCCTTTTCGAAGACGACTTCTCTAGAATATCATCCAATAAGGTCCGGAGATCAGCGCTGTACTGCGGCGGAATTGGCTCATAAGTCTCACTAACAATCTTGTACACAAGGCCAAGCAAAGATTGGCTCTCAAATGCATGCTTGAGCATGCACATTTCATACAGAACACAACCCAAGGCCCAAATGTCACTCTTGTATCCATAAGGCTCTGCTTTGCAGACCTCAGGAGACATGTAGTAAGGTGTGCCCACCACTGTTGCAGCCACATCAACTGTACCTTCCAAAACCCGAGAGATGCCGAAGTCACCGATGCGAACATCATAATCGCCCTCAGTTGTTGAGCTCTTCAGAAATACATTAGAACTCTTCAGGTCGCGGTGCAAAATGTGACGCTGGTGCATGTAGTTCAAGGCCAACGTCATCTGCACAAACCAGGTCATGATTCGGGCTTCTGGAATCAAATCAATCGGCTTTGCCTGTCGGACACAAACTGAGTCACTGGCTTATATACATATATATATACACATGTGCCATGTTGCAATGGAGAACATCAAGAAATTGTCTATACAAATGGACAACAGTGCTTCAATAGCAAATCAATGCAAATCATCATGCACATCACCAGAACCATGTGCGCAGCAATTATCACCACACCTTAACAAAACAAACCCCACCCAAGAAACACCACAAACCACAAGAAGAACAAACACACTCTCACACACACAAAGCAGCGGAAATTACCACGAAGCACATGCTAGCATCACGCACACTAAATTCATCTATACCGTAGTTTTCATGAACGCAGCATGTCAAACAAGCACAACTGTGCAGCCAACACAATGCACTTGGCGCTGCTTCGGCTGGTTCTTAGTGGCTTCGTTTGTTTTGGAGCACTTACCTCGGCAATATCGTTCCCAGAAACAATTGCTGAACATTCTGCCCAAATAGGAAAGGACCACCACTCTTGAACCTCGTAGCCCTTCAACGCCGTACAATCGAAAGTGACATCACCCAAGCTCAAATCTCAGATTTCAATTCCGAGGGCTTTCACAATAAATATGTGAAATACCAACGCCATCGGACGCCAATTGCACAGCAGTTTGCATATGTTTGCATTCAGTTCAAAATCAAATTGTTGACGCTTTTTGTTGGAGGTTTGCCTATATGCAATGACAATGCAGCATTGTTCAAGCCGTGCCTGGGTGCGTCGCTTCACTTCTCCTCTCAAGTCTCCACTATCGCAGAACTCCATGACAATGATGAGCTCTAGACTTGCCTCTGTAAGGAAATGATCTTTAAGAGCAACAATGTGTGGATGGCGTAACGCGCGCATAAGCTCAACCTCTTGGAAGGCGAGGTTGTGCTCCTTTTCCGGAAGAAACTCCAAGCCCACCACTTTGGCTACTGCCTGGTCCCCATTCTTATATTGATCTTTGCGCTCTTCGCCACACTTCTCTTCATCCCAACACACAAGGTAAGCAGTGCCATATTGTCCTCGGCCGAGCTGCTTGCTGACTTGCCAGCCGCTCGACGCAGCAATGCGATCGCGTAGGGCCGGCTCACCCATCCACACGTCTCATGTGGGGTGTTGGCACAGTGATCAAAATCAGCCCATGGCAACAAAGCCTCACACTCTCTTCACTTGAGCCTTATACAACCACATGGAGGGAGGGAGCAAACAACATCTTGGACCAAGGACATGAACAAATCAACCAACAAGGGACCAACAACAAGGCCCATCTCATCTATATATATATATATATATAGCAATCACAATCAAGAATTGCAACTCCTCCTTCTGCCACCTCTCATCATGAATATCTGTTCTGGCAGACTGCAGCTCTGCTCGAAGAAGATTCTGTGCAGCCTGCAGTGTAAAGGATACAGTAAACAAATGCAACAAAAAATAAAAAAAAGGCCTTTGTTGCTTTCTTCAGAAACCGCTGAAAGACTCCATCTGTTGAGTTGGGCCCTACGAACGAAACAAACAAAAGGAAGTCGTCGCACCTCACAGGCTTCACGCTCTTGTGCCCAGCACAGCCTATTCGACAGTCCGTCGATGCACTGCATCTTTTTTCATTATTTGAGTTTTCTGAATGTACTTCCGGATGTGGAGAGAACACATGCACAAACGACTCCGACTCCCCACATCTCGGGTTGTGGCGTTTGATCAGAAAATACAATGAAGTGACGTGAGAAGCTATGGCGCAACTGAGATAAACACTTCTCATTCTCAAAGGTCTTTTTCAGCTTGTCCACGGACTTCTTTTCCTCCATGAACTGGCTGTTCTCCCCCATGAGCCGAGCCAGCTCCGCAGCATGCGCATTTTCGGCTTGGCTGTTCTCCCCCATAAGCCTAGCCAGCTCTGCAGTATGCGCATTTTCAGCTTCAGCCGCTCTTCTTCTCTGGCTTTCTATCTCGTCTTGTTTTTCTTTGAGCTGCAGGTGTGCTGCTGCTACTTCTTCCTGCTTCTCTTTGAGCTGCAGCTGTGCCACGGCCATCTCACTCCTTACTTTTCTGTGTGTGCAATTGACGCCAAATAATGCATTTGGCTCCAAAATTGGCTCCAACATATTCAAATCGTTTCGTGACCTTTGTTCCATTCTCTGTTTGGCTAGTAAGCATGGCGGGGTGCCCGACAAGAACTTGAGCAAATTGGGAGAGCGCAGTCGAATACTTTGTGAACTAGCAACATCAGCAAGCAGCAGCTTTTTCGCATGATGATTTTGGAAGGATTGAACCTCAGGATATCAACCTGCTGCGGACTGGGGGCAGGTGATGCCAGCATGCAGCATTTCTACGCAGATCGATTGCCACACTTGCTGGGGAAAACATGTCGCACGACCCTTCATTGAGACTGACACCTGTCCGAAGTTGATCCTTTATGCCTGCTAAAGTTGCTAAAGTTAAAAAGCTGTCAGTGCCTAGCCAGAATTGCACTCCAAAACACCCCAATGCCAGTAAACCCACCCAACTGCAACATCACTCATCCTTTTCGTGAAGCTAGTGTGGCAACTACTGGTCAGGTATCTCTCAAAAGTACTATTGCAAAAGAGCCCTCACCATGCCATCCACAACAGCAATCTGCCACTAGGGCTGTCTGATCCGATGCTACCATGACCAGCTGACCTGATGATCCGATGATCCCCGGATGATCCACTGATCAGCTCATGCGCTGATCCACTGGTACAGTACAACGATCCTCACTCACTTCACCTCACTTCCTTCACCTCACTTCACCTCACCTCACTCACTTCCTTCACTTCACTCAATTCACTCACTTCCTTCACTTCACTCATTCCCTTCCCTCCCCTCCCCTCCCCTCCCTTCCCTTCCCTTCCCTTCCTTCGCTCAGTCACTGAGTCAGTCGCTCAATCAGTCGTTCGGTCGCTGACTCCCTCCCTCCCTCCCTCCCTCACACTCATTCATGGCGATGAACCGCTGATCTGATCATCCACTGCAATATCCGATGATGCGATTCATCCTATCTTCTGTTGATCCGATTTTCTATAGTTTGATGTGATGTCTGCTGATCTGATCCAATGATCCGCTGATCAAATGACCATGATTCCATGATCTGCTTCTCTGATTATACGCATGATCGGATGATCCGTGAGTCCGATGAGCGGGTGATGGCTGATCTGATGCTCGGTCGATCTGATGCTGATTCGATTATCCAACGATGGTTGGGCACATGACAGCACCTTCGATGAACTGATGAAACGCAACAATATCATTCAATAATCCAACTATGACCCGGAGGAGCCAAGACTTGCTTCGCAAAACACAGCCCCTGAAGGCCACCTCTCGTGATGAATGCTGACAAGCTGCTGCAAAGCGTCGTATTTCTGCTGCTCTGGGACGAGGGACGTAGCAACGGCTTCCTGCACAACTAGAACAGCGGTGCCCTTCTAACTGGCAATCACAATCAAGAATCCCAACCCCTCCTTCCGCCACTTCTCATTCTCATCATCAATTTCAGTTCTGGCAGACTGCAACTCTGCTCGAAGAAGATTCTGTGCGGCCTGCAGTGTAAAGGATAAACAAGTGCAAAAAAAGGGCCTTTGTTGCTTTCTTCAGAAACCGCTGAAACATGTCTGATGATGGCACTGAGAGACCGCTGAAAGACTTCCGAACGAAACAAACAAAAGGAGTCGTCGCACCTCAAAGGCTTCACGCTCTTGTGCCCAGCACAGCCTGATTCACAGGAGACTCTCTGCAGTGTCTGCTCCAGCCCCCGCCGCAAAAACAAGCATCGTAACTTGATGGATCATTCGGTATAGTTTGGTTCCAACATGTTCCCCAAAGGCCCGCAATCACCGACAATCCCAAAGAAAATCAAAGCTGTGGTTGCCGCTGACGTCCGAGTCCGGTGCTTTAAAATTATCATCGGCCAAGTCTATATGTATATATATTATATATATAAATCAAACATATAAAAGTTCTTAGTTTCTTAGTATCTATTATGTGAATTATATATCATATATATAAATATGTATCGCTTTCTGAATGGATTTCGGGGTGACGAGAGAAAAGGACTTAGCATTTGCGATTCTCTTGAATGACTCCGACTACCCACAATACCCAGGTTGTGACGTTTGATCGGGACATATAATGAAGTGACGTGAGGAGCTACAGTCCAACTGAGATAAACACCTCTGCTTCTCAAAGGTCTTTTTGAGCTCGTCCATGGATTTCTTTTCCTCCATGAGCTGGCTGTTCTCTCCCATGAGCCGAAAATGCTCCGCAGCAAGCCGAGCCAGCTCAGCGGCATGCGCATTTTCAGCTTCAGCCGCTCTTCTTCGCTGGCTTTCTATCTCGTCTTGCTTTTCTTTGAGCTGCAGGTGCACTGCTGCTACTTCTTCCTGCTTCTCTTTGAGCTGCAGCTGTACCGCTGCCATCTCACTCCTTACTCTCCGGTGTGTGCCATTTGGCAGCTAATCAACGGTCTAAAAACAAGACAGGCACTGGACGGTGGGAACAAGGAACACACATTTCGAACTATTGGAATATATAATTGAGGAACTTCGTCACTTGCTTCCATGATCTCTATTTGCCAGTAACATGGCCAGCCTTGGCGGGAGCCCAAATTTTTTGGTTAACTACTGCCGAGTTGCTGCAAAGCCTTGTACTTCTGCTGCTCTGGGACGAGGGATATAGCGAGGGCCTCCTTCAGAAAAGCAACCCAGCTGTCCGTCTGCACCTCCAGCACACATGTCACCCCAGCAAATCAAGAAACTTCTCAAAGATTGAGCACTCAAATGATGTTAAATGATTCAATGAAAGATCGGCTAGGAGCTAGCAATTGACAGTGTACAGGAAAGAAGGGCAGTTTTCCATCCATTGTCTGTAAGTTGCCCAAACTAAACATACGCGAGTAACGCGAGTAATGAATAAATCTGCCCTAGCTGATGCGCCCTCCTGTGTCTCAGTGGTAGTCACTGGAGGAGGTGAAGGACTTATTGGTGGCAATTCTGTTTTTGACCTCGGGTCACAGGCCAACCACTGGCACAGTGAATGCAATCAAATTGCCAACATCTGGTGTATGTTTTGAAAGCATTCAAACATAACCAAAGCAAACTGCCCAACTCATTCCAAAACACATGTTTCATGTTCATCTTGCATGTTTCGGACCCAAACTCGTGTTCTTTGACTTTGTTGGGTCCCCTAATCTACCCGACTGGAATGTTCCGAACACGACCCTACAAACTCACCTCAACCAGTTCAACGCGTTGACCTTCGCGAGTTGCGAAGCCTCTCTCCACCGACAACATCACTGACTTGTGCGTCGATGTGTCCATTCGGTTGTGTGATGTGGTTAGTCTTCGAGTCGAAGTCGGCCCTGGTTGTTGGAGGTTGCATGTTCTGCTTCCCTTTTTCTCGCTTTTGTTCATCTCCTGCATGTCTCACTCTCGCTTCCTCTCGCTGAGTTTGGCGTGCGGCACCCGGGGGCCATGTCTCACGTCGCGTCGGCGTCCAAGGCGAGTGGCCGTCGCTTGGATCCCTTCTCGGCAAGCATGCGGTCGATTGGGCTCCATTCCTGCCAGTGAAGCCACGGAGAATGGCCGGGGGATCAGGTGAGATGAGAGGAGATAGTCTGATTCAGTCTGATACTTGGAACCTCAACCTATGGCTTCAAAAGGCATTCTGGAATCTAAGTATACCAGACCAGTATCTTCAGCTTGCCACAGCTTGCCTCTGCTGATTTTCCATGACGATCCATCCACGTTTCACTCCCTTGGCCGAAGCGCTTTCTGCGATCGTCTGCAGCTGCCAGGCCTTGACCCGCCGCTGCGGCGTCTTCTGCTCACCAAAGGCAAGTGTTCCGGTGCCAAAGCCCGGAGCCATGGGATCCGCTCCTGGCCAACCCAAAGCTGCAGAATCCGCAAAGAGACAACATCATTCCAAAATGGCACACCCCACTGGTAGGAACAAGAAGCTACTAGGCGCCCCTGGCATCGCTACTAGGAGCTAGAAGCTACTAGGGGCTCCTGGCCTTACTACTAGGAACAAGGACACTTCTTGTGTTGTTTCATCCTCAAACAGTACGATATGCGCAGCGCCTCGTCGGCCATAGGCTCACTCTGTGAGGCCGTGCCACATTTGGAGCCACGTTGAGGGCAGAAAAAAAGTCGCAAGCACGTCCTAAAGCTCCAGAGCATTAAGAAGCTACTAGGCGCTCCTGGCATCGCTACTAGGAGCAAGGACGCTAGGGGCTCCTGGCCTTACTACTAGTAACAAGAAGCTACTAGGGGCTCCTTGCGTTTCTTCTGGGGGACCCTCAATCAGTGGCTAATGGGTAGGCTGACCTATTTACCTTCTTCCAGTGGGTCGTACTGTGAGGTCTCCCTATTTTTTCTACACACCCATGTGTGCAAACCATTAAACCACTAGACCATGCCTTTCGACTCAGCTTTTCCCTCAAGCTGATGCAAGCAGATATAACCACCTACCAGCAACCTAATGGTGAGACAAACATGTTGAAATGGTAGGTCATAACCTGTTCAACGGCATTTTATAGTCATTGCGAATGCATGACAGCAAACAGCCTTTCTGATTCTTGTCCTCCACTTCAAGACTTCACCAGTTACAAGTAGAACAATGAGATTCTCAGGACATTGAACCTCTGATGGGTGTTGCTGCGGGCTGACTGTGGGGGCCATTGGCGTCCCTGCTCTTATCAACACCCCGCTTGCTTGGCAATACATTCCTCGATGCCTGAAACCATAAAGCCATGTTGTTTGCACTAGCGTGTCACATCGTCGCATCCCTGCATCAGAAGCGGATCAAACCCGTCTCTGCTTTCTTGGTTTGTGCGGATTTCCTCAGAGACTGCACGCAAAGAGCGGGAGCCGTAGCGACGAGTGAGTTGAACGGTGTAACAGTGAACCGCAGTCAAAGTTTAAAAGCAACCACGGCAAGCAAGTCGCCAATAGGCGTTCTCGGCATATGGGTCATCTTGGTAATCTGGCAACGCGGAACTTTACGCAAGGAATATCATTTTCTTGACATTTTGCACAATCTGTCTTGTCTGGTTTGTTTCCCATGTTATTTCTGTTCAAATCGGGGTGATCAACAGCGTCTTGCTGTACCCCCTCTATTGTTGAACACGTGTAGCGGAGCCTGCCTGCAAACCAGCATTTTGGAAGGCTTGAAGGCAAGTTTCCACCTGGCTTCTGGCTCAGCTCGACACGCAAAAAAAAGGACAACTTGATGGACAAAGTGGCCTTCATAAGCCGCCTGAAGTGCACTTCAGCACAAGTCACACCTCGGGCGACATCAGGCCCCGTTTCGTTGTTGGAAATCACACCCCAAATGAAAGCCTCGATTGACGCCGCGCTAATCTACGCTCTTGCATGCTTTTGAAGGAATCAACTGTCAGGATGCAAGAATTCAGCGCAAGTTCTACCACATCATGAAACCTCGGCATTTAAACAACATTGAGCCCCTCTCTGCCAAACATAGCATTTGGCTTTCTTGTATAGATGGCTGAAAACCAACTCAAGTAAAAAGTTCTTGTTGGAGGTAGGGTAGTTAGTGGGCAGTTAGTATCTCATCATACAGATTTATATATATATGGTATATATAAATGATCCGTTATAAATATATATTAAAGTAAAACCATATATATATATATGCAGTATATAGTAAATAAATATATATATATATATGTCCAAAAATAGCGATCAGGTAGGACAGACCCGTCCTTGGGACGGTCTGGGCTTGGGATATCCAGCAGTCGCCTGGGACCGACCTCGACCGAGCTCCCAGGCCGAGGCGTCGAAGCTTCCGCGCGATGTTCATACCCTGCCAGTGCTGAGGCGAGTTGAGGAGCGCTTCTGCATCGGTAAAACAACGGGATGCAAAGAAAGTATAAGAAAGTTAGGGCCCCTTTAGTTTAATACTTAGAGGCTTTCTTTAGTCGAGTAGAGCCCTTGTTAAGCATAATTAACCGTTTAAAGGAACCCCAACATGTCCCTCTTGGGTGCCGGTTCCGTTTGGCTTCCGGACAATGGCATAGGTTGCCGCTTCGGATTTCTTCATCGCCTGGAGTCGATGAAAAGCATCATTATTGCCACTATAAGTAGCTTCTTGTTACTAGTAGTGCCAGGAGCTACTAGTAGCATCCTTGCTCCTAGTAGCGATTCCCTTTGTTATATACTAGTATCTTCTTTGTTACTAATCTTCATTGTCGCTTTACAGAAATAGTATGAAATAGTCATCGTGCTAATCCGTCCAAGTAGCGCCACGGAAGCCAACATTACCAGCATGAGAGACGATCACAGTTCGATGCCTCCAGCCTCGTTCGATGTCTCTGTGCTAAGATAACCAGTGAAAGAAACATCGTACAGATGTGTGCGTATGTGTGAGTACTGCATTTCAACTCAAGTACAAAAGTGGAAAGTGGAAGGTTGGAACCAAAACAAAGAAGGAGAGAGAGAGAGAGAGAGAGAGCGGAAAAACGGTTAGATAAGCGAGGAATACAAATGCAAACATATTAGATCTCTGGGGCATCGGCTCTTGTTCTTCACGGTAACCCAGCAGTTGTTCTTGGATGACCTGCTGCTGCATTACACATTCAGCTATCTAAACTCTGGTCTTTCTTGCTTACTTTGTTGGACAAACGCTCCAAAGGCTCACACGTGATCATGACCTCAAAGTTGTGCCAAGGCCTTGGTATTGGTGACAGGGCCTGCCGGTATATTGGCAAGCGGGCTATACCGGCTATACAATGCTATAAATTGATCTATTTGCATTACAGAAATCACTGAACACTAACCCACATGTAGCCAATGCATATTCAATCGAACGGGTCCAAGTGCAGCACTCGAAAATGCGGCCATATCTGTTGCGATCCATCTGCCATGGGCTGATGAACAAATTCTGTACGGTCTAAAGTGACAAATTGACGATTAAATGACCCAGCTACCGTAACCGCCGTAACCGCCTAAGACCATTGAGTGGCAGCCCGAACTTAGCTCCACGCGTTGTGAAACTCTGGACGACCGCCCATGAGCATGTACCTGTGCATGATTCTTGGAAGAAGGGCATGTTGACTTGCGCCCTTGCCGCCTGTGAGATCATGTGATGATATGTGAAGCTATGCATGCAAAGCATCACATTTCTTCTTTCTACGTCTCCTTAAGAGAGAGCTTGAAGTCGGTCTCAGGGGTGAGAAAACAGAACGTCAGGACGTCTCAGTTTTTGAGGCTTGGCCTCAAAATATGGAGCCATTGGTGGCTCCTACTTAGCTACCTTCTTGCTTGTCTTTACAGTGCTCTGGAGACACACAAACAAACACAACCCCACACACACACACACACACACGAGTGTGACCAATAGTGGAGCTCACGGAAACACAGAAACTTCAAAGCATGGTGAGCTAATGCTCAGCTGAAAGCGTTGTATTAATTAAGCTGTGGGTGAACCAGCATGCTCAGCTCGGCGGATATAAAGCTCCACGTTGGTTGCGGACTTGAGCTCTGCAGCTATGAGTTCCTCAAGCACAAAAACAAGGAATCATAGTACTGCAACGACTGAGATGGAAAGAACATGAAAGAACATCTTCTCACGCTGACGAACTCCATTGTTCTACCCCAGCCCCAAATCCTTGGAACAAAAATATCGTTCCCCAGCCCTGAGGCACTGACCTCCAAGTTCGTTTTGTTCGTTGCTTGGAGGGCCCATTTTCCCTACTAAAAATGCCGAGCCTCTGCATCACCCCACACATCATTCACACGATCAATTCGCATATCTGCCAATACCACAAAGGCATATCGACCCAAATTGACTTGCGTCTTGTTGTAAGCCATCATGGCCTCGAATGCTGCAGCTGCGAGCGCTACCAAAGTCGAAGTGGCTGAATCACCGTCTGTAGTCGTTTGAGTCACGCGCAAAGTCCCTTTAGACTCGGTTGCACAAAGGGCTTACAGTAGGTCCGCCCAAGCAATCCCCTAGCCCTGGGCTGAACGCAGCATTACACTATTCAGAAGCACCTCAGCCAGCACAAGTGTCTCAACCCGCCATAAAGAAGTTTTGCACATATAAGGAAGCTTCGCCAAACCACCTTAAGCCTTCAGGCAAAGCTTCATGCCATGATATCTTGATGGGCAACATGTTGCCGCGCATTTCTCATCTCAATATGTGCCCACTAAATCATTGATGAACAAGCACACCTATTTAGCTGCTCATGCCAAGTCACACCCTCCTCCATCACTTCGGTGATGCGCACCTCCTGGACACGTGTTGCAGTGGCTAGCAGTGAACTTCTCCCAGGGACTTGCAACCTTTACCAGTTCTTACTTGCAGTTTGATGCAAACACCGTTGTTGCAAACAACATAGTAATAACAATAATAATATGTGTATATATATATATATATGTATAACTATGCGCACAGGTGCAACATTCAACCTAGCAGTGACGCGTGACGCAACAAACAAAAGAGTCGGTTGTTCATATCGTAGAGTTTCCTGTCTCCACTTTGCCATTTACAGTTACAATAGATCTCCTAATTCAACATAGCTCCCTGGCATTTCAATTCTGCATGTGCGGAAAGAGTTTGTCCTCTGCAAAGTTGCCTTGCGGCCGCTCAAAGCGGAAGCCCAACTTCACCCCGTTCTCTTTGCTCAGAGCTACGATGAAGCGCTCAGGGAACCTCTCGCTCAACAAAGCTCAGCAGCAATCCCAACTCAACAAAAGCATACACAGCACTAACAAGAAGCTACTAGGGCGAACGGGGCTCCTGGCCGTACTACTAGGAGCAAGAACGCTACAAGGGGCTCCAAAGGGCTAATAACTTCAAGGCATGGTAGTTTCAACATGTCTTCATTCTACGTGGCCGGCTAGTTGATGTATACCTCGGCCAAACTCTAGAGTGAGCCGCGGCGATTTAGATTCCTGCGACCGATTACTTCCCCAATCGCCTAATGGTGCCACATCCTGTTCATACTTGCGCAAGCAAGCAAAATTTTTGCTCCCCATATAGAGATGTATAGAAGAGTATATTGACTGGACCTTGCTTGGAACCTGACTTTGCACGCAAGACGCATGCAGCTGGCACCCAATGATTCACTGCTTAGACCTATCACAAATCAGTGCCTGCAAGCCCCGCCTCATCATCTGAAGAAATATCCGCGGCTGATGAATCTCCTTTGCCATACCCTCCGCTGTGTTCTCATCATTCACTGCAATGATCCGATCCTGTGGCTTGACCTCTAGTTGTGGCACTCGCTCGTTCCATTTGGCAAGCAGACCAGTGGAGTAAACCCGCTTCACGACCAACATGTGTGGACCCTCCAGGATCTGCTTGGCTTTGCCTTGGCGCATCTCAAACTCCAGCCGGCCGTTGGCCTGAGCGAAGCCATACTTGTCGGTGGCAGTTTCCTTGCAGGAAGCTTTCAAATCCTGCAACCTATCATGAAAAGCTTTGGGAGAGCTTCAAGCAGGTTGGAGCAAAAGCAACGTGTGCAACTGCCGGAACTGGATATATTGCTGTATGGCCGCTGCTTCTACAGTAAAAGTGCTGGCCCTTTCAAGTTTGATCCAACCATGATATATAGATAATATCGATTGCTTATCGACACTTGCTTGACTTGTTTGATGTGCAAGGAGGGTAATTACATGTAATTACACTTGTTTGATCCCTCAGTGCATCCCAGTCCTTTTTCAGGAGGACTTGCCAAAATAGACAGCCATTCCTCGGTCTACCATGGTCTACAACTAAACCTGGATATGGCGACAAAGTCACATAATTCCAAGACCAAACACCCGGATTTGGCACAAAGGTCACACAGGGTTCGATCACAAAAACGTGTGACACTTGGTGGATGTTCAATCACATAACATTGAACCGCCAATCTACATGAATGGCTCAAGAACTTTGACCAACCTCATGGATGAAGAATGGACGCGCGATGCAAAAAGGCATTCCACTGCGTCAACACCCCACCACTCGTAGCCACTCCAAGCCACTCCTCCGTGATGCTACCTAATGCCTCCTCCGCGAAGAACTGCTGGGAAGCAAAAGAATCCGGTTCCGACTCGGTCTTTGGTTGAAGGTCTTCCTCGGTGCCTCTGGACGGCGAAGATTCTATGTGGGTGGAATAAGTATAAGTTGTAAGAATAGAAGCGTCCTTGCTCCTAGTAGTAAGGCCAGGAGCCCCTAGTAGCTTCCTGTTCCTAGTAGCGATGCCAGGAGCCCCTAGTAGCGTCCTTGCTCATAGTAGAACATGACATCATGTGACATCTCAAGATATCTCAATGAATCAATCCCCGGAGAGAAAGCAAAACTCCCAGCCTACCAGCAAGGACTTGCCACTCTCGCCAAACGTACTCATCTCTTGGAGTTCCGGGAATGCAGCAACAAAATCTCTACCTGATTGATGGAAGACCGTGTGTGCCAAGCATTCCCTGCAAAGGTCATAGTCGCAAGAGCGACATCCATACAAAATGGTCGACATCGGAAACTCGCACTCACAAACACTACATAAGAAGTCATCCTCTGGAGTCTCAAAGGGCACCAGGTCATGCCCTGATGGACATTTGGTCTGAGGCGTCGCCAAAACTTCTTTGTCGGGTTTGAGCTCCAATGCACTTTCCACGTGGACTGGCGGAATCCTGAGAGACGTCTGCTCGTCGAATGCTTCTTCTTTCACTTCAGCCGGAGCTGGTGCTTCTGCAGTGGCCTCTGCGCCATCTGCGAATGCTTTGAGAAATGAATGAATTGTCTTAACCTTCGACTTCGAGGCGTAAAGCAGCGGCGAATGCCCAGCCACATCTGGGGCATCCAAAGCTGAGGGCTGAAAGGTCTCAAGGAAAGATCCAGCCACATCGTGGAGCCCAGCATGAGCTACGAAGTGTAAAGGAGTTTGTTTCTTTGCATTGATTACGGCAAGGTCTGCCTTCCTGAAGATGAGCATTTCACATACTTGACGCGTGGGAGCAAAGAAAATGGGCGATTGCCTTGGCAGGACATGCAATGACATACAGTCTTATCGCCACAATGCATGGATATGCATGGTATATAATGGAATATAATGGTAATTTGTACAATTTTTGATTATATAATTATCGGAAGATATCGTACGCAAAAAGGCTCGAAATCTAGTCAGTCTCTCCGTCTCTCTATATCTCCCTCCCTCTCTCTCTCTCTCTCCTGTGCAGCCCTGCAGCCTCGAGTGTGAGTATTGAAATGCACAATGCGAGAGCAAAATCTGGCACTTCTCTAGTGACCCTTTTTCCCAATAGGGCCGGCTGGCTGGCTTGGAGTGCAACACGCCACAGCGGTTGTGGTTCTACATTGCGTTCCATCTGCGGCAAGATTGACTTTTTGCTGAAAGGCTTGTGTTGTCTGTGGAAATCCTATATATATAATATATGAGATTCTTTGGTGGACGCTCTCTATCAGAAAATCAGCTGGTGTGAGTCCTGACACACATCTTTTGAACACAACTCACCAGGCAACACCAAAGCACTCCATTGCCACCAAATCCTCTACAGAAGGAAACTGAGGAAAAAACCATCGCAAGAGTCCAACAAAAGCAAGTAGAACTGCATTTAGCTTCTCTGCCAACCCCTTTCAAGTAGCGACCCCTCTTTCTATGGAGAGAAGCTGCCCATGGCGGTCCCTCAAGTTTGGATCTGCCCCAGTCTTCAGCAGCAGCCGCACCAAATTCGGTCGTCCCTCAAAGGCAGCCATGTGCAAAGGGCTGACACCTTTGCTGTCCTCAACATGGCATGAGTCCAAAAGAGGCAACATGATTGATTTAAATGACTCATGATGGGGTATACAACATAATAAACACAATCGATGGAACATGTGCTCCACACCTCTCCATGCTGAAGGCCGCTTCTAGTGGGCAACCAACACGACAAGAGAACGCATTGTGCTGTATCACGAACTGTGACGCCCTCCGCCCATCCCGGTCCTGACTGTTTACATCTGCTTTTCGCTCCAATAAAAGCTCTACCATCGGAAGGCTCCGGGCCTTTATTGCGGCCATCAGGGCATCCAATTGAGGCGGCCTGCCTTGATTTGCAAGGACACCAGGAAAACAGTCGATTCTCTTCCCATGGGTGCACGCGCACAGTCTGATGAAATCACCCGCTATCTCTGCTATGAACAGCTGTGAAACATACTGTAACAGGCTGAAGCTTCAAGCCAGGAAACCACTGTTTTGCACAACTTGCTCCACATCTTGCAAGCTGCCCTGGCCCTTCAGCACTGCTTCTACTGTCTCCAGCACCGCCATGGCAATCTCTGAACTTGCTAGTTAAAGTTTCACTCCTCCCTGTTCTCAAAAGAGTCTCATAAGTTCCAGGTGTAGTTGGCTCAATAGTTGAAACTCTTGAGTCTTGAGACTGGTTTCTTCGCGATTGCTTTGCAAGTCTTGCATCTGCGACATTGTTTCTGCTAGCTGCGCCGTGCTGTGCGCTAGGACTTGCAACTGTTGGGAAAATGATTGCCTGAGCAAGAAACACCCGAACAAACAAGGATCGTCCAAGTCCGTCCTTTGCGGGGTCTTTATGCACGTCCCCTCCGACTGCTATCAGCGATTTCGTGAAGCGTCTTCCGGCCTTCGGATGTTCCCAGGAAAGCTCTTCTTCTGAGCTTTGGAGAGGTGGATTTGAGTAACCTCCACACGATGAGGCTACCCTCAGACTGCAAACATCTTAGTTGTGGAGATGTCTTTTTTCCAGCCAGGCCCTGACCTTCTTCTGCGCCTGCATGGTGGCCTGGATAGGCCAAACCCATCACAAGAAGGAAACCTTCGAGCCTTCAACAGCTGACAACACGTAGCACAGTGGCCTTGATGGAGCCCAGAGCACTCTCAGCTTCCTGGCAGCTCCAACGGGACTCGAGGGGGAAAAATAAAACATACCGCTGAACAAAGCCCTCTCTGAATCTGTTTGATCCTTTAGGTTCTTGATCCAAATGAAACTGATTGTTTTGTATCACCATATGTATGCTATGCTAAGGTTTCCTAAGTTAACTAAATTGATATTAGATAAATGGTCTAAACCTCAAGGGCCTCAAACGGGCCTCACCGAGACCTTTATTCTGCACATGGGCGTGTTTCGCGTTGGCCAATTGACGAACAAATCTCTTTTGGTCGGATTGCGGGTAGCAACGTGCGCAACCGTCGTCTGTGTTAGTCTGTGTTCACTGCAGCGCGCCAAAGAAAGGTGGAAGTTAAGCACGTGTGAGCCACCAATGCAACAACTAGCTAATAACTGCTCAAAAATGGATGGAAGGGAAATTGGCGTAGAACAATTTCAACATCAGCACAGGAGCTTTCACTTTTTTTCTCGAGTCCTTTGTCAGGCGTGGAGCGGCCGTTTCTGCGAACCAACGGGTCATACCTTCAAGCAGCGAAAGTGACGAGACGGAACTACAAGCCATGCAGGCAGAACATGGCAGAACTAAGCCATGGACTGTGTGCAAATGGAGCTGCAGGCCTTGAGGCTCATGTACGTTGATCTTTCATCTTCACCCTGAGTCCCTGACCTTAGAAAGCTCCTCAAACGCAAGGCCATCGCGGCCATGGCATCGACCGTGGAGGCGAAGAGATTCTACGGCAAATTGCCCTGACTAGGCCAGTTGATAAGCTAGGTCCAACGGTTTGTTCAATCGAACCTTCGGTGTGAATCAAATGCAGTCCAACTTAGAGAAAGCAATGTCATTTCTCACCATTGCAGTTGAGATACAAAACAATAACACCACATCACACCTTTCTTTAACATGACACTCAGTACATCTTGCATTGCAAGTCTTGGGTGTGGACTTTGCTGCCCTCTCACTCACATTACTCAGCTTCCTGTATGCTTTCTCTCTGTTCTCTGCAATAAAGAGCCGCTCTCAGAATAACGGTCAAGCACCAATCTTGGATCATTTCCGCGCCTACACTACACCCTGCAATAGAAAGCGCGATGCCTGTAGTCTTGTTGCTAGCTAGAGGCATTCTTGCCGTTAAATTAGGTTGCATATGGCTGCATGCATCTCAAAGTGCTCCGTTTTGCTTCTTCATTTGTGGCTGGTCTGCTCGGGCAGCGCTCTTGTTTTTGATCGGGCCGGCCGCTTCTGTGCTTTGGCGGCTTTGGCCTCGGATCCAAACAGTGCATCAAGCAACAACACTAGCAACAACTTACTATAAACAACCAAATTACAGTAAATGGGTAAAAATCACCTAAACACTTCCGCAATATGTGCACACGCAGCCCTCGCTACCGGCCCCCAAGTTGAAGAACTTCAACATCGTCGCGAGTCGTCCGTTCTCGTCGCGCCTGTTCGCCTGTGCCTTTGGGGCCGGTTCGCTCGCTCGCACAGTCCTGTGTGAAACATCGTTCTCATCTCATCGTCTTTGCAGAAGAAGCTCCGGTCCGGACTTTCTGAGGCCATCACGCCGGGAAGTATGGCAACCAATCCTCGCCGCCTGGTATGGGAACACCACGAACTGGTGGGGCCAATGGAGGCCAAGCCGACTGAGGCCAAGGCAGTCCACCTCCCAAACGAGGCCCACTGCTGGTGACTCAAGGGATGTGTACCTACCAGCGAGTTAAGATAGACAGGAGAGGAGAAGTAGGGAACTTAAGACACATCAAAATGAAACAAGCCGCTTCCCTGGCAAGGCACACATGAGCCATCCTTTCGTGGCCATTGCCTAAAGCAAGCCCGATCACCTTGGAATGGCACGTGGAAAGGTCCATGGTCTGTAGTGAACATGTTTGCCTGAAATTGCCTGAACAATGCAGGGATCTCAGGGATGCACAAAGTTATTCACTAAGGGGCATCTAAGTTCGTGTTTCAGCTGATTTGAGTGCGAGCCATCAAGTCGAAATTGCCAAATGTGCTAGCGGCAGGACCCACTTCGTCTGCGAGGCATCCCGGTATAAGAAAACCTCACACACCCAAATGGACAAGACTTCGCCAAAATCATGCACTGACTGGTGACCTGGTGCACTCCAATGTGAACAGTAAGGCCACAAAATCAAATGACATCAGCCATGAGCCAAGCGTCAAACATGCAGCAGCTTGCAGAAACAACCGGAATGTCCAAACCCAGGCTCAGGCATGGTCAGTACCCACTTTGGCCTCTTTGGACCTGAGACTTGTCAAGCATGACGTCTCATATGGGGGTTGTCCAACAAAGCTCTTCTTTTTGAGCTTGTATCGCCGGCCTTTCGCGACCCTTTCGCGTTTGCAGAAAAAACAGGTTTTCCTTTCGCGCATTGTGATGAGCTTGTTCCATTGCACTGAGTTCACAGTGTTTGGGACATCTAGGTCCCTTTTAGTGCGCTGAGAAGCAGGCTAATTACCCTTTGTCAATTCATACTTGAAACAAAGGTTTCAAGGCTTATTTCAAGGCCATGGATGGGCAAATGCCCTTCCAGGCAATGCGCTCTTTCGCGGGCCTACCGCCGGCCTTTCGCAGCCCTTTCGCGAAAATCCGTGTTTCTGTTAGGGAAAAAGGATGTGTCATGTATTATGCACATTGTATGTAAGTCTAGGTTGGCACATGTCTTTCGCTGTCCTATCGCCGGCCTTTCGCGGACTGCAGTTTCCCTTTCGCGACATGTTTGTTTAACAGTTGATCGAAATTCCTTCACTGGCAATAACGGACGGCCCTCATATAAACTTGATGTGTCTATACTATTTCTACTTACAGTAATTCTACACATCGATATATGATGTCATATTGATATCAATATATTCATCTATATGTATATGTATTTATCAGTCTATCTATCTATCTATCTGTCTATCCGTCTATCTATCATCTATCTGTCTATCTATCATCTATCTATCTATCATCTATCTATCTATCTGAATCTATCTGTCTATCCACCGTTATCTACTATATTATATCCAACTATCTATAATTGTACAGCGGCCTCCAGGCTGGGTACCAATTCCAGGGCTCTGGCCTTGACAAAAGAAACAGGCACAGCACAGCCAAGCGGGGTGTACCATATGAGGGTGCCAGTCAAAGCAAAGGACGCAAAATTTGTCCATGCTGATGTGGTGATGTTAGACTTGCTGTGACATAGGATGTGCAATAGAATATCCAGCTTGTTTCAGCTCGCACGAACTCTGACCAGGGCCCTTGCAGTAGGCAAAGCTTACCATTCAGCAAAGACATCCTGAGAAACAGCAAGCCACATGCCCATACCCACAAGACAATATTGCAACACAGGCTGAAGTCTAGTAAGAGCCCAGCGAACCAGGGAAGCCAGTCACCTCGACCTTTGGCATGAACGGCATTTGGAATCAATTAAACTGTTCTTAGCAAGGCAAGACAAAAATGAAAAAGGAATCGGAAGTGATATATGATGACAAGAAAGCGGCTTCCAAGCAGTGTCTTGAAACTTGAAATTATAGCTTGCTCCATGCCAATTTACACTCATTCTGGCCTCCTGGACTGCATTGGCCAGGCGCGTGCGAGCACTTGCAGCAAGAGAGCGCCACGACGTTCGTAACTGAACGCCCAAGTGCAGCTGAACCCACCAGGATGTCATTAAAGGTTTTATGTTCCGAAGGATCCTTCCCATCTGGACCAAACTTGACTGAATGTGCAGGCCAGGTGGAACAACATCAATCGCCCGCCTTAGCAAAGTCTGCATCAGCCAAAGGCATTAACCTGACAAGAGGGTCTGGCTGCAACTTTCCGGCCTCAGCCAAATGATAACAAGTACAAGCCACACAACATACTAAATGCGTCATGAATTCCTGCGTGGTCGACATGTTGAAGTTGAAGCCAAACGTTTCACACTGATGCAGTGTATTGCAGCGTGTTTTTGAGCTTGGAGGGTGCAAATTGGCACCAGGGATTCAAGTGAAACAATTTTCTCAACGCTATTTCTGGTCGACGTATAAAGCTGGAAAACCGAGAGCGCCCTACACTGGATCTGCTACATCAGGGTTGCAGTCTTCTGCTACAACCTAAGGAATAGACTAGACAATGATAATGCACCGTGCCAGCACGGGGTAGTTCAGCTATTCTGGATCAACGGCTTAAATACATTCACTTAGCTAAGCATGCTACATATTTTGTCCGGATAAATGCAAACACAAAAACAAACATGCATTCAATTGTTGATGTTCTGTCGTGGCACAAATGCACCATCAGAACTTCAAAACTTAGGAGTTCTTCTCCTTCTTGACATTGTTCTTGTAGTCAGGCATCAGCCTTCAGTGGCGGGAAAATGAGAATGATGCCTTTGGGATCCCCCTTGGGGTTCCCAGCTGAACCTGGGAAAGCCCTTCTAATGGGGAGCCGTTTGGAATGGTCAAACTT